AAATGTAATGTAATTACAAGTACTTAATTTTTGGAATCTTACTACGTAATCCAGATTACATGTAGTAACATCAGTTACTACCCAGCTCTGGTAATTTGATGACTTCTAGGTAGATTTGACAGCTAGCTCTTGTGTAATCGGTTACTAAAGGCTGAAATACACTATGTGGCTTTTGCCCCAATTTACAGTTTGGGGGAGTTGTGGTGTGAGATGGAAAGTCTGGTAGTATGTGAGATCATTTTGAGATTAGTCATTTTGTGTATAATGGCCAGTTTTCTCTGTAACCATTTACAAAGTCAGCAAGTTATGATATCTAGTGTTTTAAAATCAGTTCAGATGCTGTAGTGTATTCCAGCCTTAAATATACCATTATATATTACACATTTCTAGAAGCCTCACAGTCCCCAGTTATAGTTGTTATTACGTCCTTGTATTCGTATAATATGGGAGATCATGCACCATAATGACGCTGAGGAAATGTGTGATTAAAGGCGGCCTAGGGTGGGATCCTGAGAATTATTTCTGTGTTTGTTCCATATAATAGCACAGATAGTTTATTGTGAGGTTAAACTAGCTCCGGGGATCTTTAATGGCAGCTAAATAAAGACCTGAGCTGTATCGACTCAACAGCACAACAGTTACATATTGCATACCGAGATCAGTGTCTCCTAGAATGATGCAATTGAAGTGTTTAGTTGTAGTAACATAGCTGCAATGTTTTTCGAGACCGTAACTGATACGAGTTTGCCAAGATACAGTGTTAACATACAGTAGTTTTCTTTTTAATTAGCAGTTTATTGAAATTATATGAATATTTTCTGCTTCTGGTTTTAAAAATTGAATGTACATCAGTGAATGTGAAGATTGTGGAGATTTTGCCAGTAGTCAGGTTTGTTTGCTTGCGGTCAGAATGGATCTGTTCACGTTTATTAGATGTAAAGCAATGGCGCCATCTAGTGGTGAAGCTTGGAAGATACTGCATAATAGTAGATGTTCTAGAGTTGTACTTCAATTTTTTATATACATGTTTAATCATGCTACAATGTGTGTGTTCAAAGCTGTGGCTAG